GCTGATGAGCTTCAGCATCCAGTTCGTCGATGTCCGGTTAATCTCTGAGGGGTAGAAGTACACCATCCAATTAGGAGGAGGAGGAGGAGGAGGAAGAGGAGTGGGCTGTGAAGTGGCAGAGCCTCCAGAAGGTTTCAGATTATAGAGACCACAGGGGCGTCCTAAACCGGATCAGTCATCTGGACTAATCTGTTTACAGCCCAAAAGCGTCTTTCTTCTAAAAAAAATCTAACACAATTTCACATCTTTCAAATCACAGGAGCCGAACTGCATTTGAGAAGAACAAAACCGATGTTTTCCGCATCAAAACGTACAACGTGGGGCCTCTAAAGAAGCTCAGGTATGGTACGCTGAAATTAGCTCTTAGCTCCCAGAGGGCTGAGCCCCATTTTGTGGCGAACTTTAGGAGGAAGGGCTGCATCACAGGCCGCAAACAGGAACATGGAGACAGTCTAAGATTTAGTAGATAGAGGTTTTCTGACCAGAGAAACCATAAGAGGCTTTAGATTGACAGCCCCCAGCCATTTATGAGAAACCAGCAAAGCCAAAGCGAATGAGTGGGTGTGGAAGTGGACGATGGGTGGAGCTTATTTTGATTCACAAAGCCTCATTTATTATATTTACGACACTTTGTGTGGAGGGTATAGCCGAAAAAGCTCCCATTCAAAGACCAGGATGATGACAGGGGATGGAGATGAACTCAACTTGCTACAACCTAGAAATTGGAAACAGGAATCCTGGGAAGCAGAGACAAAACATGGAGCTAGGAGTAAAAATACACCATAAATGCCAAATGCAAACAAAGATAAAAGAGAAAACTCACTCTTTAGACAAACACCCAGAGACTTTGAGAACTTATTTGAAATGCTACACACTTACAGCACAAATCAGAATCATTTGTGACCCAGAACCAGGAGGACGGCTGGACGTAACCGAGTGTTATTGGCCAGTCAGCTCTGACATGAACAGGCCAGGTCCTAATTCATGCAGGTTTCAGTGGAATATGATGAGAAAGTGTGAATATTGACCTTAAAGACGAGTATCTACTGTAACAGAGAGAGGAGTAGAGAGTTTAACCCAAAAGTATACTGTAATTCTAAAGGGAAAAATATACATCTAAAAAGGAATCATTTACATTTACAGTCATTTACACGGATTAAGTTATAACATACTGTGCTAAAGGGAGTAATTATAGCCCGGTTCTAACACCGCCCAGGATCGAGCACGACAACACGGGGATGAGCGCCAGCTGGTTCCTGGACCGGGTGGTGGTGACCGACATGAACCGGCCCCATCTGCGCTTCTACTTCGCCTGCAGCAACTGGCTGAGCCGAGAGGAGGGCGACAACCTGTTTGTGAGGGACCTGCTGGGCAGCCAGAACCCCATGGACGTCCCAAAATGTAGGTCCAGCGTCCACAGAGAGAGAGCAGACGGCAAAAACGTCCCAATGACTGATGAACTTGCACAATACACCCACACCAGGGTTCGGATTAAGGCTTCAGAACACTTTTTAGATGGCCGAAAACCCCCAAACTCTTAATCCGAGTAGAATTAAGCCAATTAATTAGCTCTGAAAAGTTGCTAACAACTCTGAAAAGTTGCTAACAATTCTGAAAGGTTTGCTAACAACTATGGAAAGTTGTTAACAACTCTGAAAAGTTGTTAACAAATCTGAAAAGTGGTTAACAACGCTGAGAAGTTGCTAGTTACTCTGAAAAGTTGCTAACAACTCTGAAAAGTTGCTAACTCTGAAAAGTGGTTAACGACTCTGAAAAGAGAAAATGTTTTTAAAATTAGATTTCAACACGTTTTAGCAGGGTTCAAAATTCGTGGGAATTTGGTATTAGCCAGCAGGGCTAACAACTCTGAAAAGTTGCTAATGACTCTGAAAAGTTGCTAACAAATCTGAAAAAGTTGTTAACAACTCTGAAAAGTTGTTAACAACCCTGAAAAGTGGTTAACGACTCTGAAAAGTTGCTAACGACTCTGAAAAGTTGTTATTGACTCTGAAAAGTTGTTAACAACTCTGAAAAGTTGTAAAAAACTCTGAAAAGTTGCTAATAACTCTGAAAAGTTGTTAGCTAGCTGACCAAAAGCAGCCCGATTGGTACTATTCTATCACGTGGGCTCAAGCATGCTATGTCCGAATATTTCTTTGTAGCTTTGTGGCTATAATATAATATTACTTAAAAAGTTTTCAGTTCCTCTCGCTTGGCGGCTAAACCTGATGATAAACCTCAAGATAACATGGCGGGACGATGGATTTCAAACTAAAACTTTTTTTTGGTTGATTTCCTGTTTATTTTTTTGCATGTATTTGATATAAAAACTTCATTTTCCAACATTTTCCAGCTTTTGATTTTCTCATCGCCAGGGCAATAAAGTGTCCACGGTCAATCGGTCATTTGGTACCCGGGTGTTAGCTCTGTTTGATAAGCATGACTCAGGCACTTCAAGCCCCAGTGCTCCCCAGCATACTATTTCAGGGTGGAATCGGTACTGTAATCCTCGGCTAAATCCAGTCCCAGTAACCTTTATGGCAACGCGATCTCGCGTCTTAGCACCTGCAGTCAATTATGTAAGGTGTCGTGCAGACATCGTCCCGTCAGGGAGTGTTTGGAGCCATGTAGCTGTTTCACAAGTGGACACTCGGCGCATTAAATATTTACCCTGGAAAGCCTTAGAGTCAGTTTGCAAGGAAGCTTCGGGAGGAGAACAAAAGCCAGCTCTCCGGGGATGATGGTTTTATCTTTTCTGATTCTGCCCCGCGCCGTAAATAATTCAATTCATGTCTGAATGTATCGCGTTCCGTGTCTCGCAGTGAATAAATATCTGGTGAGCGTCTTCACGGCCGACATGAAGGGGAGCGGGACCGACGCCGACGTGTTCCTGAACATCTTTGGAGAAAACGGGGACACAGGTATCACAGAAAGGTTCCCCCCACTAATTATAGCCCATCACAGAAATACAGTTCATCGCAAGTTGACCGAGATGCAAACAGTTGTAAAGTTCAGTTAATTTGGTAGTTCATATAGTTATATCTTATTTAATTCACAACAACGTCTTTAAGATATTTAGTTGAACCTGCTTTTCCTTAGGTTAGATTCTCATTGGTTTGTTTTTAGTCATGTGACAAAAACAAGGAAGTGGGAGTGTTCTAAAAAGTTGGAATAATACGGATTAAAGCGTGGTCGAAAAGTTCACCTGTCTCCATCCGTTCGGTTCTCCTTCTGGAGAGTGATCCAGACACCATTTAATCGAACCCTCACGTTACACTGTTAACCCGATTGTTTAGTTGGAAACCTGAGAATAAACCAGAGTGTTTCAAAAGTATAAAAAATTACATTTATTAGGACACAGTTAAGTGCATCAGTTGGGCTCTATCAGACAAAAACCTCTCTCTGGGTCTCAGTGGGCAAAGAGCCCTGAGATCTGGGTGTGATGGACATTATCTCAAAGGAGGACTGGACACAACCAAGTCCTATTGGCCAGTTACCTCTGGGCATGAACGGGCCAGGTCCTAATTCATCAATCCAATCCACTTTGTTTATATAGCACGATTTTAACAAACACAAGGTTTCCAAAGTGCTGCACAAAAAGATATACAGAATAAATAGATAACACAATAGAAGTAGCTTACAGCAAGAAAAGATGAGGTACACAGTAAAAAATAAAAGCAATAAGATAAACTAAAATAGAAATAAAATAGAATGAAATATAAAAATATGCATGTATATACATAAAATCAACGCTCTACATGGTGTCAAAAGCCAAAGAAAAGAGGTGGGTTTTAAGAAGAGTTTTAAAACGAGACAGAGAGGTGGCCTGTCTATGAAAGAAAAAGAGAGACGACAGAGTCTGTGGTCAAAGCCAGAGACTTTAACACAAAATATAGTTATAAAAGAAAATAAAACCATCATTAATTTACATAGATCATGTGATAGGATACAATGCTAGAGTGAGTAATTATAGCCAAATTCTAACAAAACCATTGACCTCACATGTTTGTTTGTTTTTTGCTGCTTTTGCTGGTATCAACTGGCCATTTCTGCTCTGAAATCCCAATATACCATCGTCCTGCAGAGCTTGTGTGGTTTTTCCGACAGGAGAGAGACGGCTGGACAGCGACAAAGACAACTTTGAGCGCGGGTCGGAGGATAAGTTCACCATAGAGTCGCCAAACCTGGGGAGACTGAAGAAGATCACCATTGGCCACAACAACAGAGGTTCATCAGCAGGATGGTTTCTGGATAAGGTGTGTGGAGGAGGTCCCTTTACGGATGGAAGATCGTACTATGGTGCTTATTTCCACAACAGGCAGAGATGTAAAGTCACAAAGTAGAACTACTTAACCCTATAATGCCAAATGTATCATATTTGATAGATACGGTTTCTAAAGTCTTTTGGATCTGAGACTTTTTGCATCATTCAGTGGTAAAAGCTTTGCTCAAACCCCTGTTGTACACATTCAGATATACCTGATAACAACCAGTAGAAGACTACACCAAAATATATTTTTGGTTAAGAGACAAACCTGGTTAGATTGACCTGGAGGTCGTGGTTAGTCTGTTGGTGGAAGAGCTTAATGCCTGGTGTTGATGCTTCTGGACTGTTCCATCATAAGGTTTTACCACCAGGCTTAACTCGCCCCTCTGGCCTTTGGAGATGCTTTATTTGAGTTTTGAAATATTATAAAATATATCTATCAAACTTTTCACTGACTTTTTTGATATACATAGTACTTGTACTTTTACTTATACTTGTACTTTCAATACTTGAGTGGCAATTTTTGAAATACTTCTACTTGCAATACTTAAGCACAAAAAAAAAACGGAGTACTTCCGTTCTTCCACCTAAGTTTGGTGTTTGGTGTTGAAAGAACACTTTAGCTTCTACTCAAGTGAATTTTTTATATAGTACTTGTACTTGTACTCCACTCCTCTACTCCAGTACTTTATACATCTCTGCCGACAGGTGATGGTCGATGACATGGGGAATAAAGAAGTGTACGAGTTCCCGGTGAATCGCTGGTTCGCCATGGATGAGGATGACGGGAAGATCCAGAGAGATGTGTTGGTTGGATCCATGCAGCCGATGGGTGAGAAAACACCAGCTCGAAATTATAGCAGGCTAGGAATTAGAAATGTGAAATCTTTGGAGTTTCTTTGAATCTTCTCAGGTTTCGGGCCGCGGCTCCTGATACCGCAGAGCCGGAAAACTGTGCCGAAATCGGCAGAATTTCACAGCCCTAAATGCCTTCAGTGCAAAAATAAATAAATCTGCCCACACAAGAACTTCCATGACACAAGAGGAAGTAACCCCACAAAAGTCTGCACAAGCTTAATCATTTCCAACCCGTCTCTCGGTTTCAAATGACCCCTCGAAGTCTTCCTAAAGTTAGTGATGGTAAAAGTTAGCACAACTGAGGCTTTGAATCCAGATATGACCTCATAAGTGATTTGCTTCGGCCCGTAAATATATAATTTAAAAAAATCTGAACATTCACCCAAAGGTTGCATTGTTAAAAAAATGTATTTATAAAGACCAAGAGTGAAAGCAGAAGATGCCAGATCCATGAAGATATTTCAAGAATCTTTAATGGATAATATTCTTCATTGCTGTTAACATTAAGAGATGTAAGATATCAACCCCTATTACACACAAGGAATGGGAAGAGACAATATCTTCGTATTTAGGGGATGTTTTTGCTATCTGATCGGACTCTTCTTGTTGGATTCAAACTACTTTCAGTGAAATGGTGCCGAGTTTTTGAAGAAAAGTCAAATCTCTTTGTCATGATCTCCTACAGTGAGGACAAATTCAGCAAATTCTGCCTCTCTTTAGGCATCGTGTACAACGTCCAAGTGATGACCGGAGACATAAGAGGAGCAGGGACCAACTCCAAGATCCACATGGTCATGCACGGCTCCAAGGGCTTGAAAAACAGCGGCAAAGTCTTCCTGGAGGGCGGCGCCTTCGAGCGCGGTCTCATCGACATTTTCAACGTGGAGATTTGCGAACTCATCAGCCCTCTGAGCCGAGTCACCATCGGCCATGACAACGGCGCCGTGGGAGCCGGGTGGTACTGCGAGAAGGTCCAGTTCGTCTCCAACCGGTGACACAGTGGCCCCCAAAGCCTACTGCACGCATTCATTGACCCCGGTTTTTCCCCCCCAGGTGGTGATTTACTGTCCGTTCACCGGCATCGAGCAGACGTTTCCGTGTGGGATGTGGCTGGACGAGGACGAGGCGGACGGACTGATCGAGAGGGAGCTTTACGAGATGGTCTCTCTGAGGCAGAAGAAACAGAAAAGTAAGGTTCCTCTGCTCAGCTTAAAGGGGACATATTATGCAAAAACCAAGTTTTTAATCGTTTGATTGTGTACGTTTGGGACTGTGGAGGGCCTATCAGCAGGCAAAGTGTGAAAAAAAAGACTCGGTCATGTTTTTGTGGGAGATAGGCCTACAGGAGATAAATCAGGAGGTTTCAGGAGTGGGTAGTTTCTGACGTCATTAGCTCTAGCTCATTATAATATTCCAGCCTTTCACCTGCATGTTGCCCCCCACCTCAGCTTACTCCGCCTATCTGTGGCAGACGTCGTGGTAGCGTGAGCGTTAGCATGGTAGCGTTAGCATGGTAGCGTTAGCATGGTAGCGTTAGCGTGCCGACGCCGGCACACCTCCCGGAAGAAGTGGGTGGATTGCCTGTGTCTCATTTGCATTTAAAGAGACAGGCACTCCAAAGCGAGTGCTCTGAACGGGGCTGTTTTGGCAGGGTTAGGGTTAGGGTTAGGGTTAGGGTTAGGCAGGGGGACTGAACTGCTATTGGGCTTCATCCTTATGGGATTTTGACCAAAGCTTGTCACAGACATTACATTAGGACACCAGGGAACTAGGTTAACTTGTTGAAATTGGGTATAATATGACTCCTTTAAGCCGGGCAAACACTGTGTTATATTTCCCATCGTTGCTCGTATCTCCAGCTCAAACTGCACCACCAAATCGTAGGGTTCAAAGTTCAGAACACACGATGCTGATCTCACACAATATGACCCGATATGCCATCTGACGGCTCACATTGTACGTCCAAAAACGCAGGTCAGACTTGAAATATAAGACGAAGAAGACGAAGTTGAACAACATGGAAGGAACATGAGGGTCACCAGAGCTAAAAGCATCTTTGGCAATTTGCACGATTGTCTGTTCCAAAAACTTTAAAAAGAACAAAAGAAAATTGCTGTGCAGACATGGCCTTTATGGCCTGTACATTTTACACTGTGAACTAGAAGTATGATACCCCTGACCACTCAGTGCCAGAGATAGTGGGTAATCGGGTCGTAGACGCTCCTGACATGGCTTCAATACCACGATTCCCTCACGAGGAACGACCAGAAATTCAAACCGGTGTGATTTTCATCAAACCAGACGATGTGGATCTGGAGGCTCACCATGTGAGATGCACCAGGAGCTGAAACTCATGATCCAAGAGATTCTTGCACCAGTGAAAACCGTGTCAAAAAGGCGCATAAATCGCACAGTGTACGCCCGGCTTTAGCTTTCAGCTAAAGAGCATTAACCTGGAGGTGTTTTACACGCTGCCAAACCCTCTACTTTTCCACCCCAGAGTACCCCTGGTCCCTCTGGATCTGGACCTCGGACATCAAAGGGGCAGGCACAGACGCCCAGGTGTTCCTGCAGATCTACGGGGAGAAGGGCAAGTCCGACGAGATCAAGCTGGAGAACAACTCCGACAGCTTTGAGCAGGCCCAGATTGATAAATTTGTGGTAGGCCGCAGCCTCTTCTTCTGTCGTATAGCGGTCACATTTCCTTTTTATCGTCTCTCCTGTTTTTCGTTGATGGTTTTACTCGGTTTGGTCAATGCAGATTGAAATGCCGGACATGGGGAAGCTGCGGAAAGTGAGGATTTGGCATGAGAAGAGGCATCCATTCGCAGGCTGGCACTTAGCCAAGGTGAGATCCTGCTCTGCTGGTCTGGTTGATGAATTCAAACTGTTAAGAAACCGTCTTTTTGGATCCACTTAGCGTTTAATCTGCAGTGTAATCGGGCTACAAAAGTCAAAATGGTTCCCTTGCTGTGGCTGGTGATGAACCAAATGACCAGTCGGTGTCTCCTGAATTCTTTTTTTTTTCAACTATATTTATTGAACATTTTTTAAAACAATAACATACAGAATACAAAGTATGAAGATGACACATTTGGTGGCACAACTGTATGTTAATAACCCAAAACAATGCCCAGCAACCCCCACCCTCCCCTTTACAAGCCTTCTTGACCAGACAGACAGAACGCACAAGCATTCACACACATATACACGCTCACTCTTTAGGGAGAAATAAACAATAAGTAAAAATAATAAAATAGAAAATCAGAAGAAAAAAATAAATTATATATAGGCTATATATATATATATATACATACATATACACATCAGAACGCCACAAACAACTTAAATAAATAAATGAATTAGAGAGAGAAGGGGGGTGGTATTGATACATCTAAAAATGAGTATCGTATCCGGATACAACATTTTAGTATCCATACTTTTTTGAGTATCGATACTTTTGACAACCTTAGTTCAGGCTGAAACTAAACGTTTAGAGGCTGGTCCTGGTCCTCTTCACAGGTCACTCTGCTGAAGACGCTCACCGCTGAAAAGTATTCGTTTGAATGCGGCCGCTGGCTGGACATCAACGAGGACGACAACGAGATCGTCAGGGAGCTGCCGGCCACCGGGACGCTCATCGAGGATCCACTGCCACGTAAGACGAGACCGGGGGGGGTTTAGATGGATATCTGACTCCGCCTACATCCAAGTCGGCCATTTTGATTAGGTCACCAATAGCAAGATCCCAGGCAAGAAAATCCTATTGCTTCGTGGTGATATAGACATTAATTTAAAAATAGTGAAATGAATCTTGCAAACACTGAATTAAACTCTATCCATATTATTGTGTTAAAATAGTGGATGTTAAATAGGTTTGTACAATAAGTCCAAACAAGTTTAACCAAAAAATATTTATTTCTCACAATTATGAAGGGTTAGGGTTAGGGTCAGGGTCAGTGTTAGGGTTAGGTTTAGGGTCAGTGCTCGGGTTAGGGTCAGGGTTAGGGTCAGGGTTAGGGTTAGGGTCAGGGTCAGGGTCAGGGTTAGGTTTAGGGTTAGGGTTAGGTTTAGGATTAGGACATCATTTGTCTTCCGATTTCGTATAGACAATAAAGTTTCGTTTCCACCTGAGAAAGCTGCTAGACACATGACCTAATCAAAATGGCCGACTCGGATGTGGGAGGAGTTGGATATCCAACCGAGGCTCCTATCCCCCCCCCCCCCTCTGTCTGCAGTGATAAAGTATCGCGTCACCATCTGCACCGGGAACGTGAGTGGCAGCGGGACGGACGCCAGCGTGTTCCTGAACGTGATCGGAGAGCTGGGGGACACCGGGGAGCGCCTCATGTTCATGAGCAAGAACAACGTCAACAAGTTCGAGAAGGGAAACGTGAGTCATCCAAAGAAAGATAGAAAAAAAAAGGAAAAAAATAGATGACAGCTAATTTTTTTCTGTCAAAGTATATTTATATTTAATATTTGTTTAGCTTTTTCTTTTTCATTGTCAGAAAAAAACAGAAACAAGACAAAAAAAAACCTAAATACTGGAAATAGTACAAAAATAAAACATTATCTGGGTGACAAGGCAAAAACATACCCATAGTCACACAAAGCCAAATAAAAAAGAAAACCAAAACACCTTATTCAGAGTCAAAATGCAGATTTTGTTGTTTTACATGGAGATAAATGGACGCCATGTCACATCAAACTTAGTGATCCATTCAGTGTATATAATTGGTTTGTCAATAAAAGAAAAGTAAAGCATAAGAAACAAAAGAATAAGTCTAAAGAGTGTGCCGATGTGCCAGAAGGGAGGTGTTAGAATTGGGCTCTAATTACTAACTTTAGCACAGTATGTTATAACTTAATCCATGTAAATGACTGATTTTCTTATTCCTTTTTAGATTTAGAATGATACTTTTGGGTTAAACTCTCTGGCTGTGCCTCATCCTCTCTCTGTTACAGTATATTCACGTCTTTAAGGTCAACATCCACACTTTCTTATCACATTCCACCTAAACCTGCAGGAATTAGGACCTGGCCTGTTCATGTCAGAGCTAACTGGCCAATAACACTCGGTTACGTCCAGCCGTCCTCCTGTTCGCGGCCCAGAGGAAAACTGTCCATCACACCCAGATTTCAAGGCTCTTACCAACTGAAATCGTCCGGAGGCCCGGCTTATTTACTCTGCTTGTGATCAATAAATGTCATATTTTTACTCTTGATCTGCTCTGGTTTATTCTCAGGCTTCCAACTAAAGAATCGGGCTATCAGAGGAGTGGGCCCCACAGTTCACCTTTGGCTTTCTAAGGGAAATATTGTTCCTCGTTCATGTTTTTTTACATTCCCCTGCTCTGCCCCCCCTAATCCAGCATGACGAGTTCCTGATAGAGTCGGTGACGGTGGGCCGGGTCCGGCGGGTGCGCGTGGGCCACGATGGGCGCGGGGGGGGCTGCGGATGGTTCCTGGACAAGGTGCTGGTCAGGGAGGAGGGCCAGCCGGAGTCCATGGCCACCGAGTTCCCCTGTTTCAGGCAAGGCCAAACCTCACACGGGACCCGGGTCCTTTCTGACGCTCGTTTCTGTGTTTGGGACGCTTGTTTGTTTTTTAATCAGTTTGATGTTCAAATTCCTGCTTTAAAAAACGAGAGAACAATGTCAGAATTGTTTCAGCCTCTCTGCTTAATGAGGAATAAAGCATTTATTTGCTATCTGAGCACTGAAATGGAGTTTGAAATGCACTGAGTTTTCTCTTTAAATCTTTCCGTTTATTCTTGATGTTTCCTATTTCTGGGCTGTACTGGGCCATTGCAATATATTATCATTTGTCTCTTTTTGGTTTTATTTGTTTTGGAAGCTCAAAAGCTGTCCATCTTCCCTAAAGGCTGTCCTGATTTATCTTCTTGTCATGATAAATCTGAGTGATTTGTGAGCTTTTTGCAAATCCCGAAGGGGTACATGAAAACCTTTAAAGTGGCAAATTTGGATATAACTCTTATACAAACAAAATTTCTCTCAATCAGAAACATGCTGGTGAGTGAAAACTGCATGAAGCACATTGCTAACAATTACGATCACATTTCTGCTTAAGCCAACCTTATTTCTTGGTCGTTTTTGCGTTATGAAACAGGTCCAGGTTTTGGATTCATCCACCATCCCACATCTATTTCATTTCTGCAGGAAACAGCTGTACTGTGTCCAAGTTTACCGAGCTAGAAGAGTTACATGATTTTTTTATTTTGCAAAAGAGCTAGTTGTCATGTATTAGAGCTAGATGAGCCTTTTCGAGCTATTTCCAGCTGGGTCCACTGGCAGTAAACACATAGTAAAAATCACTTCCTGGTGTGTTTTCAGCCAATAAAAAGCCATTTTACATTAAAAAACGCCTCTCTATGAGGAGTCCAGTTGGTGTAGAGTTTCCTCTGATGTATCTTAATGATCTGAATCTACCCATTCCTGGGCCAGATGGGCCAAATGATCCTACCAGGTGCTGTGAATCGGCCTCACCTGCTCTCCGGTGGCTTGTGTTTAACCCATTAGACGATGGATGGCTTCGCCTTTACAAATGGACACTAAATACATGTGGCCGGCCCGCTCTCTCCTGCTGAAACTGGAGTCGGGCCGCAGGGCCGGCGGGCCGAGTTACTCCTGGAAAAAGCCTCTTCCCATTTGTCTGCCTGGTTAATTAGGGAAGGCTAATGACCGGCTAATGTGCTGCCCGGGTGCTGTTTCCGTCTTCATTTGGCTAATTTAGCGCATCCCGTCTGGTCTGGGAGCTGTTCTGTAGGTGTTTATATCTTTAACGTGATAACACACAAGTCTTTATTTCTTTATTCCTCATTATCTCCTTGCATTTTTATTCATTTATAAGTCTTTGTTTCTTTTATTTTCAAGGCTCAATCAGTTCTTCCTCCTTGCCTGGTAGATATGCTAGCTCCAGTTCCAGTTGTTTGCATTTTCTCTCAGGTTTAGTTCATAGAAGGCTCCTTTGACATCCTGGATGCTTTAAAGGGGACATATTATGCAAAACCAAGTTTTGAATCATGTGATTATGTACATTTGGGACTGTGGAGGGCCGATCAGCAGGCAAAGTGTGAAAAAAAAATGAAAAAAATAGCTCTAGCTCATTATAATATTCCAGCCTTTCACCTGCATGTTGCCCCCCCCCACTCAGCTTACTCCCCTATCTGTGGCAGACGTCGTGGTAGCGTGAGCGTTAGCATGGTAGCGTTAGCATGGTAGCGTTAGCACGGCGACGTGGGCACACCTCCCGGAAGAAGTGGGTGGATTGCCTGTGTCTCATTTGCATTTAATCCTATAATGCCAAATGTATCATATTTGATTCATACGGTTTCTGAAGTCTTTTGGATCTGAGACTTTTTGCATCATTCAGTGGTAAAAGCTTTGCTCAAACCCCTGTTGTACACATTCAGATATACCTGATAACAGCCAGTAGAAGACTACACCAAAATATACTTTTGACTTATTGCACGCTAATTTGATCAAACTAATTTCTGTTTTTTTTCGTCATATGTTGTTGAGGGGCCAAAGAAAGACTTCAGACTAAAAAAATCCAATATTCTTCTTATTTTTCGTGGATAAGGCTTTAAAGGGGTTAAAGAGACAGGCACTCCAAAGCGAGCGCTCTGAACGGGGCTGTTTTGGCAGGGGGACTGAACTGCTATTGGGCTTCATCCTTATGGGATTTTGACCAAAGCTTGTCACAGACATTACATTAGGACACCAGGGAACTAGGTCAACTTGTTGAAATAGGGTATAATATGACTCCATTAAGGCTTAATGCCGTGTTCCTCCAGGTGGCTGGATCGTAACGAGGACGACGGGCAGATTGTGCGTGAGCTGGTTCCAGCCGGGGACGGCCTGCGTCTCTTCAGTGAGGACATTTTCCAGTCACTGAGACTGGGACCAGGCGGGCGATAATAACCCACTGCTCTCGTCCACAGACGTGGGCTACCACATAGCCATCAAGACGGGCAACATCAGCGGGGCCAGCTCCGACTCCCGGGTGTTCGTGAAGCTGTACGGGGAGAAGGGCGACACGGACAAAGTCATCCTGGCCGTGTCCGACAACGACCTCAGGAACTACTTCGAAACGGGCGCCACCGACATCTTCACCATGGACACCTTCGACATCGGGGAGGTGGGTTGTTAACCCGATTCGTTAGTTGGAAACCTGAGAATAAACCAGAGTGGATCAACTAAAACCTCTCTCTGGGTCTCAGTGGGCAAAGAGCCCTGAGATCTGGGTGATGGGCATTATCTCCTGGGCTCCATCCACCTCCTCAAAGGAGGACTGGACACAACCAAGTCCTATTGGCCAGTTACCTCTGGGCATGAACAGGCCAGGTCCTAATTCATGCAGATGACAGGAATGTGGTAACAAATGGTGTGTGTGTGTGTGTGTGTTGACCTAAAGGTGGATCTAATGCAACAGAGAAAGAAAAAGAGAGAAAAGAGTCTGTGGACACAGCCAGAGACTTCAACACAAAATATAGTTATACAAGGAATAAAACAATCACTAATTTACATAGATAAATAGTAGATCAAGAGTAAAAAGTTGACATTTATTAGGTCACAGTTAAGTGTATCAGCTGGGGTCTAACAGACAAAAACCTCTCTCTGGGTCTAAGTCAGCAAAGAGCCACGAACTCCGTGTGTGATTGGTATTTGTATCCTGGGCTGGGCCCCCAACTCAAAAAGGACTGGACTCTGCTTATTGGCCAGTTACTTTACTAGCCCTAACCCTGACATGAACCGGCCAGGTCCTAGTTGATGCAGATAACCTTTAACCCTGTAATGCCAAATGTATCATTACCACATTTAACCCTTTAAAGCCTGATCCAAGAATAAAACAAAACAGAAAATTCCTTTTTTTGGTCTTCATTTGGCCTTTTAACAAAATATGTAAAAAGAAAAAACAGAAATACATTTTTTATATTAATAGTTTGTTACTATGCGATAAGTCAAGATTATTTTTTGTGTAGTGTTCTGCCCCCTGTTATCAGGTGTATCTGATTGTGTACAATAGGATTTTGAGCAAAGTTTTTACCACTAAATTATGCAAAAGGTGTCAGACGCAAAACATTTCAGAAACTGTATGTATCAGATATGATACATTTGGCATTACAGGGTTAAATATGTAGAAAGAAAATGGGAAAAGACCAGGCAAAAGTGCTAAAACACAAATAAAATATTGGTTAATTGAACAAAAAGAAAACAAGGCATGGAGTTGAACCACTGACCCTCCAGTCAGTGGGCAACTTCTCAGCCAGTTCTGTGCAGAGTTTCAAGCTTTGGGGGGTTTGTGGAGGGGTGGGATTAGGCTGGTTTCGGGCTCAGGCCCCTGACGTTGGGCCCCCACCCCCCCCGTGCTCGTAGATAAACCGACTTTGAGAAGGGCAAGGTAAAGAAAAGAGGTCTGTAGGGGGCCACGTCTAAGCCCAGAGGTCAGAGGTCACACCCCAGGAGCCCAGTCAAATATTCTAACCCAATTTATTTCGGATTTTGACCCAAGAATATGAACATATGAACACCGAATAAACCACAAAAAAAAGAAAAGACTAAACTAAATTTCCATTACAAGTTAATAATCAAGAAATATGTATGTATATATGTATATATATAAGAAATATATATATTTCTTAATTATTCACTCGTTACTCATTTGCGTATGGAAATTTATTTTAGTCTTTTTTTTTGTGGTTTATTCAGTGTTCATAAATATATAATATATATAAATATATATATATATATATATATATACATATGTAGAAAGAAAATGGGAAAAGACCAGGCAAACGTGCTAAAACACAAATAAAATATTGGTTAATTGAACAAAAAGAAAACAAGTCATGGAGTTGAATCACTGACCCCCCCCCCCTTCTGTTCTCACAGATCAACCGGCTCCTGATCGGACACACCAACGAGGGCCTGCGCGCGGGCTGGTTCCTGGACAGCGTGCAGATCTCGGTGCCGGTCCACGGGAAGCAGTACATGTTCCCCAGCCACCGCTGGCTCTGCAAGGACGAGGCCGACGGCAAGGTGGAGGTGGAGATCTACCCCAGCGAGATCCTGGAGATCGAAAAACGTAAGAAAAACGCAGAACCCGGCGGGGCGGGCGGGGTTAGTTTCAGACTGGTTGCCGTGGTTGCCGTGGTTGCGCGGCCTCCCCATCTCACAGCGTCGTATCTCCCCCTGTAACAGTGATCAACTATGAAGTAACAGTGGTCACAGGTGATGTGCGTGCAGCAGGTACCAATGCTAATGTCTTCTGTCAGATCTATGGGGAGGAGGGAAAGACTGAAGTCCTCGTCTTGAAAAGCCGCTCCAACAATTTCGAACGCGGCACCACTGAGATCTTCAAGGTCTGTTTTTTTTGGCTCGGCTTGAGTCGGTCATCCCTTTTTCTGGGTCGCTTTAAACCCTGTCTCCCTGTTAAAAAACAAAACCTAGATCGAAGCTCTGGATGTGGGGAAGATCTACAAGATCCGCGTTTACCACGACGGGTCGGGGATCGGGGACGGGTGGTTTTTGGAGACGGTGGAGATCAAGCGGCTGACCACGGCCCTGGTCCAGGTGGAGGTCAGAAAAGAGGAGGCGCCCAAGAAAGACAAGAAGAAGGACAAGAAGAAGAAGAAGAAAGAGGAGGAGGAGGAGGTGGAGTTCGTGGAGGAGCTGCAGGAGGTGGTGGAGACCTCCGCCTTCCCGTGCGGCCGATGGCTGGCCAGAGACGAGGAGGACGGCGAGATCGTGGTGGAGCTGCTCACCGAGGACTGCGAGGACCTGGAGAGTGAGCGTTTATGTTTATGTTAATTAGGGGTGGGACGGTTCACAAAATCCACGGTTCGGTTCGATTCACGGTTTCGTGGTCAAGGTTTTCGGTTCGGTTCCGTTCATGTTGAAAATCTATTATGTATTGTATAGTCAGGTTAAAACTGAAAGGAAAAAGTAGTCTGACATTTGATACATCATTGTGACAGTCTTAGGTTAAAAGTAGGTGAGATTCTGGCATTGCCAGAGAGGAAACAGTGCTAGTTCCAACATGTGCTTCCCTCTAAATGCAAAGTGGTCCCATACAGCAGAACTATAAACTGCTGTTGGCGCGTCGGATTTTTATCGGCTACGCTGCTTCTTCTTCTTCTTGTTTCCTACTGGTGGTTGGCTTTGGGCGCAGTAGCGCCCCCTTCTGCTCTGGAGTGTAAACGCTTCCCTCTGAGAAAAAGGAGCAGCATGAACCGAACGCAACACACGCGAATCGTACCGAGACAGTCCAACCCAACGGTTCAGACGGTTTTCATAAACCGTCCCATCCCTAATGTTAATGCATTTGGCAGATGCTTTTATCCAAAGCGACTTACAGAGTTTGCAAGAGGATTCAAGTAGATGGGAGCTGGACCCTTAAGCACTTTGTAGGGTAGCATCAGGGACCAGGCAAAAGTGCTAAAACACAAATAAAATATTGGTTATTGACCAAAAGGAAAAACAAATCAAATCTTCGAATAAGAATTATTTATGATTTTAACTCAAGAAAGAATACAATAAGAAATAATAAAATATTATAATATGAGTCTGTAAGTTGGATAAGAAAATGTAAACCAAAAAAAAAGACTAAACAAAGGCCTTTGCAAGAGGATTCAGGTAGATGGGATCCGTACCCTTAACCCTATAACGCCAAATGTATCATATTTGATTCAAACGGTGTCTGAAATGTTTTGCGTCTGACACCTTTTGCATAAGTTAATGGTAAAAACTTTGCTCAAAATCCTATTGTACACAATCAGATACACCTGATAACAGGGGGAAGAAGACCACACAAAAAATAATCTTGATTTATCGCATAGTAATAAACTATTAATATTAAAAATGTATTTCTGTTTTTTCTTTTTACATATTTAGTTAAAATGCCAAATAAAGAATTCAAACCAAAAAAAATAAATTTTCTGTTTTCTGTTCCATTAATTCCGGCCTTCCCCCCCCACAGTGAACTCGTACGAGGTCCACGTGTTCACGGGGCTGATGTGGGGGGCGGGAACCGACGCCAACGTCTACATCAACATCTACGGAGAGACGGGGGACACGGGGGAGCGGCAGCTCAGGAAGTCCAACAACCTGAACAAGTTTGAGAAGGGAAAGGTAAAGCAAACAGGTCTGCAGGGGGCCAGTCTGAGCCCAGAGGTCAAAGGTCACACCCCAGCAGCTCCACACGTCCCAGTCAAATCTTCTAAGCCGATTATTGTTATTATTATTATTATTTCTGGATTTAACCCGAGAATACAACATGTAAACACAGAATAAACCAAAATAAAAGAAAAGACTAAACTAAATTTCCATACGCAGATGAGTAACGAGTGAATAATTAAGAAATATATATATATATATATATATATATATATGTAAGTAGAAAGAAAATGGGAAAAGGACATGCAAAAGTGATAAAACACAAATAAAATATAGGTTAATTGAACAAAAAGAAAAAAACAAGTCCAATTTTCTAATACAATTTATTTATGATTTTAACACAAGAAAGAATACACTAAGAAAGAATATGACATAATATAACATGAACCTCTAAGTTGGATAAGAAAATGTCAACAAAAAGAAAAAAGACCAAGGAGGAATTTTCATATGCCATTGAGTAATGACTGAATAATTAAGAAGAAAGAAATATATACACATACAATTGAACAGGCAAAAATGACAACAATCTAATAAAATACAACTTAACTGAACAAAAAAAGGAAAATCTCAATGAAAATGCTAAAAAATAACAACTTCAGTAGGTCAATGTGCCCTTTTAGGAAAACTACCTTTAAGATGTGAGGAATGTGAGACGCTTTGTTTTCAACTCCTCCAGATAAAATTCCACCGTTTGTGGTTCATTCACTGCTTAAGCCCTCTCCAGCTTTAAAGCGTCTTCCTCAGGGCTCTTTCCGCTCGTTTGTGACCCAGGAGGACGTGTTCGACGTGTCGGCCGTGGACCTGGGAGCCCTGAAGAAGCTGAGGATCCGACACGACAACAGCCAGGCCAGCGCCGGCTGGTTCCTGGACCGGGTGGAGATCGTAGACAACAAGGATGACACAACGTGAGTCTAAACAACTTTGAAAGAATCTGCACCTAAAAAAACTGTTAGAATCGGCCTATAATTACTCACTTTAGCACTGTATGTTAAAACTGAATCCATGTAAATGACTGATTGTCTTACTCCTTTTTAGATTTATATTATTCCCTTTATAAATATACTTTTGGGTTAAACTTTCTACTCCTCCTCCTAGCTTTTTTCATTTTAATTTTAAAACAGAAACGAGACAAAAAAACCCTAGATACAGAAATTATTTTTAAAAAGCCATGTTACATCAAACTTCTGACTTAAATCTGACAAAAGAATAAGTCTAAAGAATAAGCCGACGTGCCAGAAGGGAGGTGTTAGAATCGGGCTATAATTACTCACTTTAGCACTGTATGTTATAACTTAATCCATGTAAATGACTGATTGTCTTATTCCTTTTTAGATTTATATTATTCCCTTTATAAATATTCTTTTGGGTTAAACTCTCTGGCTGTTCCTCCTCCTCTCTCTGTTACAGTAGATACACGTCTTTAAGGTCAACATTCACACTTTCTTATCACATTCCACCTAAACCTGCATGAATTAGGACCTGACCTGTTCATGTCAGAGCTAACCGGCCAATAACACTCGGTTACGTCCAGCCGTCCTCCTGTTGGAGGCCCAGAGGAAAACTGTCCATCAGACCCAAATTTCGGGGCTCTTACCAATTGAGATCCTCCGGGAACTTTTGTCTGTGAGAGCCCAACTGATTTACTTTGCTTGTGACCTAATAAATGTCATATTTGTACTCTTGATCTACTCTGGTTTACTCTCAGGCTTCCAACTAAAGAATCGGGCTGAAAAAATCTGCACAGAGGAGCAAAGCGGCTCGTGTGTATGCATGCTGGCTTCATTTTAGACTAAATTGCCTGTAGATTTGAGTGTTTCTGGGTCTCTGTGATGGGGCGAACTGTCCAGGGATTAGCCGCCTCTCAGCCAGTGACAGCCGAGGGCTCCAGTCCCCCTGTGACCCCGTTAGGAACCAGCCGGTTCAGAAACAGGGCGGCTGGACGTCTGCAGAGCTCCACTGTGTGGTGTAACGTGGTACTTTACTCTGTACCGGTTAAAAACCATCCATCCATTATCACTACCCCTTATTCCCTAATGGGGTCGCGGGGAGAACTGGAGCCTATCCCAGTAGCCAATGGGGAGAGGAGGGGTCACCCTAGATAGTTAAAGGGGACATATTCTGCAAAACCAAGTTTTTAATCATTTGATTGTGTACGTTTGGGACTGTGGAGGGCCTTATCAGCAGGCAAAGTGTGAAAAAAAATGACTCAGTCATGTTTTTGTGGGCTGCCTCAGTCTGAATCCAGGAGATAAATCAGGAGGTTTCAGGAGTGGGTAGTTTCTGACGTCATTAGCTCTAGCTCATTATAATATTCCAGCCTTTCACCTGCATGCTGCCCCCCACCTCAGCTTACTCCCCTATCTGTGGCAGACGTCGTGGTAGCGTGAGCGTTAGCATGGTAGCGTTAGCATGGTAGCGTTAGCATGGTAGCGTTAGCATGTTAGCGTTAGCATGGTAGCGTTAGCGTGCCGACGTGGGCACACCTCCCTGAAGAAGTGGGTGGATTGCCTGTGTCTCATTTGCATTTAAAGAGATAGGCACTCCAAAGCGAGCGCTCTGAACGGGACTGTTTTGGCAGGGGGACTGAACTGCTATTGGGCTTCATCCTTATGGGATTTTGACCAAAGCTTGTCACAGACATTACATTAGGACACCAGGGAACTAGGTTAACTTGTTGAAATAGGGTATAATATGAAACCGGCAGTGTCCATTTTCTCCGAGTGGTTTTTTGACACAAAAAGACAGAAAAAGTGAGGAACTCTGCTTTCTCGCCCTCCGTGTTGTGCACCAGGTACTTTTTCCCTTGCAAACGCTGGCTGGCCGTGGACGAGGACGACGGGCAGCTCGCCCGGGAGCTGGTCCCCGTGGACGAGGCCTTCATGAGGATGGGGGACGAGGACGAGGAGGAGGAGGAGGCCACGCTCGGCCTGGAACAGAAGGGTGAGGCGGACGTTTAGATCAGTGTTTCCCAACCCTGGTCCTCAAGGCACCCTGCCCTGCATGTTTTCCAACTTTCCCTGCTCCAAAACACCTGATTCTAATAAATGGAGCGACTTTTCAGCTATGCGGAAAGCTGCTAAAGTCCCATTCATTAGAATCAGGTGTGCTGGAGCAGGGAAATGAATGGGACTATTAGCAGCTTTCTGCATAGCTGAAAAGTCGTTCCATTCATTAGAATCAGGTTTGCTTGAGCAGGGAAACTTGAAAAACATGCAGGGCAGGGTGCCTTGAGGACCAGGATTGGGAACCACTGGTTTAGACCCTATCCGGAGGCTGAGAACTGGCCGATGTGTTCACAAACTCTTTACCGTTTCCAGCCATGTCCACCACGTATACGGTCCGGATCAAAACGGGAGACAAGAAGTACGCCGGGACGGACGCAAACGTCTTCATGGTCCTGTACGGAACCAAGGACGACACAGGTGAAAATATTAAACGATGTAATAGCATCCAGCAATTCAAAAAACAATATAAGAAAAGTATTTTTGATGAATACAAAAAAGAATAATACATCAAAAGTTATACTGTTTGTCTTACTGTAATCGTCCTTTACCACCACGACTCATGTGACTGAGGGGTAGGGCTTAATAAGGTTATGCTTCATCCTGCTCCTTTTTGAAACATGAAGCATGTTTAGGAAGCATTCTATGTAAACATCGTAAAATCATATAATGTTTCAAAATAAACGAAATGAAAAGAAATTAAATGAAAGGAGAGCTCCCGCGTCTCCGTTAGGGCCGGTTCCAAACATGACGTCACTCTGCGTCTCGACCCCCTCCCCCATAGGGACCATTACCCTGAAGGCCTCCAAGACTCACAAGAACAAGTTCGAGAGGGGCATGACCGATGAGTTCACCGTGGAGGCCGTGGACATCGGGCCCCTGAAAAAGCTCCGGATCGGACATGACAACCGCGGTAGGACGAGGACGCGTCCCCAGATGTTTGTCATGTTTATGTTATTTTTATGCATTTGGCAGACGCTTTTATCTAAAGTGTCCAAAAAAAGGGTCCCATGTCCGGTAAAAAAGAAATGGTTTGTCTTTCAACGCCGTAGAAAAGGCCTCCATTGGAATAATACTTATTACAGTCTGTGTCCACTGGTTTATAGATGGAACTCTATCAGAAATCCACAACACCATAACACACTTTCGAGCGCAGTGTAACAATATATGTAGAAGATCTTTGTTACGAAAGTTATCTGGCAGTTCTATGCTTGTTTGTTTATGTTTGTTTATGCATTTGGCAGACGCTTTTATCCAAAGCGACTTACAGAGTAGACACAATATGACATTTATCATCACTATGACAATAAGCTATATAGAGGAGAAACACTGATCAGAGTCAGTGGTGAGATAGAGATAGAGGTAGAGGGACTACAGAAGGAGCTGTGGGGGGGGGTAGAGGTACGGGTTAGGGTTAGGATAGGAGATGCTCTTTGAAGAGGGGGGTCTTCAAGAGTTTCTTGAAGACAGACAGGGACCTGCTGTTCTTGTAGCTTGGTAGGTGGTTCCTCCATCTTGGAACGACACATTAAACAGTCTGGATGGTCTTAAGCTGGTGAAGGCTCTGCTAGACCACAGTCCACTGATGACCAGAGTGATCCAGTTGGGACATAAGCCTTTGCAAGAGGATTCAAGTAGATGGGAGCCGTACCCTTAAACACTTTGTAGGCTAGCATCAGGGACTTGAATTTGATACGGGCAGCCAGAGGTAACCAGTGGAGTTCAATGAACAGAGGAGTGACGTGAGATTTTTTGGCCCGATTGAAGACCGTTCTGGATCATTTGTAAAGGTTTTACTGTACAGGCTGGGAGACCAGTCAGGAGGGAGATAACCATAGACTGCACCAGGGGCTGGGTAGCATGTTGTGTTCGGTATGGCCGGATCTCTCTTATGTTCAGGATCCGAGTGGATCCGCTCGTTTATCATAGCCTCTTATCTGAACGTTTAAGGAGGCGGATCGGCCGGCTGGTTCCTGGACTGGGTGGAGATCGACGCCCAGTCTCTGGGCCAGAAGCTGCGCTTCCCCTGCGGCCGCTGGCTGGACAAAGGCGAGGACGACGGCGCCATCGTCAGGGACCTGTTCCCCAACCCCCTGCAGACCGAGTTCTACACCCCCTGTAAAACACAACACACCTCACACCACCAGACTCCAGGCAGAGGCTTCAATTCCACGCTCTTAACCGCCTCTATCCCTTATTGTCTTTTTTTAAATTCTTTTACAGTCGTTCCGTATGAGATTAAAGTCTTCACCAGCGATATGTTCGCAGCCGGAACGGATGCGGACGTCTTCATCGTCCTGTACGGAAGGGATGCGGTGTGCACGCAGCAGAAGAGTCTGTGTGTCAACAAGAGGGAGAGGAGGATGTACTTCGAGAGGGGAGCCGAAGACATGTTTATCGTGGAGGTGAGACAAAAGCGGGAGGCCGAAAATAGCCGCTGCAAAGAGAAAAAAAGAGAGAAAAAACTATGTGAAACATGACTCAACAAACTGTGACAGGGACAACAAAAGGCAAAAGAAAAGAATCAGAAATGGTCACAAGGCTGCCCACAAAGATCTTCCACTTCTGGAAGTTTCAGTAAATTCTGAGCAGTTTCAGTCTGTTTTAGAGGACTAAATGCTGCAATTAAATCGTGCAAAAGCATCTGCAAACGATATCATTCACAAAGCAGCTGCAATTAGAACTTGTTTTAGCAAATGGTATCATTCACAAAGCAGAGGATTGGGCTTTATCGATCCAGCCTGCGGGATGTCAGATGTTCCAAGACTGATCCGGGTTCTGCCCGGGATCAGGACACAGTCAGAACCTTTTTAGGAGTTTTAGGGGAATCTTTCACAAATCGTGCGGTTGTGTTTATGGTGTATGATGTGCTGTTTGCTCCCTTTGCAGCTGGAGGATGTCGGGGACGTGATAGAGAAGATCCGGATCGGCCACGACAACCGCGGGGTCAATCCCGGCTGGCACCTGGACAGGGTGGAGATCCGGCGCCTGCTCAGGAAGGGGAAGGTGAGTCCCCGTCGGCCAATAGGAGACCAGAGGGAGTCTCACATGTCTCTCCACAGACTGAGAGGAGCTTTTCAGCTCCAGTTTTCGGTCAGCAGGTGGAGACGTTCTCCTGTCAGACGGCCGGTTCTCTTTTCACGGCGTCTCAGGTTCTCCTGATGCCGTGATAAGGGTTTTCCTCCTGTTTTTGAATCCAGGGATCGGAGACCGCCATCTTCCCCTGTGAGCGCTGGCTCGCCAAGTCAGAGGAAGACGGAGAAACGGTGGTGGAGCTGGTGCCCTCTGACATCATCACGCAGAAACTTTCCAGAGACGGCAGCCTGAAAGTGACCGAGGTGGAGGTGGAAGACGCCCTGGAACGTAGGATTTTCCCCCTCCGGAAAACCGCTTTGTCTGTGTGTTTGGAGCCTGTTATGGAAAAAGTTATTTAAATCAGTGAGGCAAAGTTTCTTAATAATTAGAGAAGATCGATCTTGTCCAATAAAGAGATTTATTCGAAGGCAAGAGCGTTCGAAGACGCAGGTCATAGAGTAAACTCAGGTTAAAGGCACGTCCCTTTATATAACATAGTATGGATAAAGGAATTGAAAAAGGCCACTGCGTTTCTTATCAGCAACAAACAAAGAGATTCGGATTTACATTCAGTCCTCAGGAAGTCCCATCGAGAATCTCCAAAAGGAAAAAAGCTATGTATATTCTCAGGAGACAGGAAGAGGCCCCCATGTGGATTGGTCACAAAGAGAATCTTCTCAGGTGTGAGGATAACACAAAAGGCGAGTCGTACAATTTCAATGATAAACACAGGAATGGGAGATTCATTCTTGATGGGATTAAGGAAATTGTTGCATTTCCTACTGGTGCTAAAACCACAGTCTCCAGACATGTGAGACGACTCTCCCTAAAGGAATCAACAACCAGTAGGTTTAACAAAGAAACAAAAGAAAATTCTCCACGACAAGCCTCTTCTGAGATGTCTGTCCTCCATCTGATGTCTTTTTCTGCTCGCTGTTCCCTCTCCAGCTCACACCTACAACGTGTCAGTGATGACGGGGGACGTTAACGGAGCCGGGACCGACGCCAACGTCTTCCTCACCATCTACGGGGACCAGGGGGACACCGGGGAGAGGAAGCTGAGCAAGTCGGAGACCAACAGCAACAAGTTCGAACGAGGATCTGTGAGGAAGCCCCCTTTATTGGATTTCATGGATCCCTTTAATCTGACTTCTTGGGAGGGTTTGCTGCAGTTTTATTTCATTCAAAAAAAGGGGAAATGACACATCTGAATGCTCAAGATTAGCGGCCAATGTCCAGAACGCGGCCGCCATCTTGAAAGTCGCCATCTTGGATCAAGGGCTATTTATTCCACTGGGCAGGTGGTCGTGTGGCTTATCAAAGAAGACCAGAATTACCTCAGAAATTGATGGCTGCCGTCATATTTTCAATATCTCTTGTGGTTAAAAAGTAATTAACAAAGTTGCATGTGATGCTGTCAATGCTTGGCTTCTCTGATAGAGTCAGGTCAAGATGGCGGCTTTCAAGATGGCGGCCTAACAGAAAGGCCCGCGCACCCAATGCTTGTTGGGGTTTTCAAATATGTCATTTTCCCTTTTTTGCCTGAAATAAAACTGCATCATGCTGCTTTTTCATGCTGCATATCATCTGAAGCTGTAATTAACCATAACTGACTGCTGTTTACACTCCCTCTCAGGTGGATAAATTCACTATGGAGGCCATTGATCTCGGGCAGGTTTTTAAGATAAAAATCCGCCATGATAACAGCATGATGAACGCCGACTGGTACTTGGACCAAGTGGAGATTCTGGACGTGGACACAGAGGAGGTTTTCCTCTTCCTATGCGAACGCTGGCTCTCCAGGAAACGAGAGGACAGACGCATCCAGAGAGTCTTCTATGTGAAGGTATGAAGAGTTGGGACTGAGGGGGCACCTTTAAATCCAGAGCACAATGTGGGAAAATATTCATTCTATCAGAGGGACTATTAAGAAATTAATAGTAAATTATCTATGATCTGGCTGAGGTTTCATATCTCTGAATGTCTGTAAAAAGACCGAAAATAATTATTGTGACTCGCCTTTATGTGTTCTATTTGCAACAGGTAAAGCTTTGGTAGTCATCCCTGTTGCTTTTATATTTGCAGTTGATTCTTTGAGAGTTAGATTAACAAAAACTGAACTCAGTCAGTCTGCAAAATGTCTTTTTTTTAACTTTTATCTCAATTTGGCTTTTACTTTTCCTTAGAAGGAGCTATCTTGGATAAAATATTCACTGTAAACTTTTTTAGATTCATAAAAACTGAGCTCAGTCAGTCTGCAAAATGTATTTTTAACACTTTTATGTCGATTTACCTTTTCTTTTTGCTTAAAATTAGCCATCTTGGATAAAATATTAACTTTAAACGTTTACAAAACATCTGTACGGTGTAAAGTGGGATCACGCTGTACATCTCAGCATGGTGTGTGTGTGTGTGTGTGTGTGTGTTGCTCTAGCTAAAATCTTAAAAGATGAATGCTTTCCTAAATTCATGGATAGGAAACTCTGGGATTCTCAGACCTATAAAACCTTTGGAAAGGCACGTACCCATTGGTCCTATTTCCGTCATATGTCCTTATATATAACGAAAACACGTATGTGTGTGTACGTGTGTATAACGAAAACACGTATATATGTGTGTGTGTGTGTGTGTGTGTATGTGTATGTGTGTGAAACTCTGGGATTCTCAGACCTGTAGAACCTTTGGAAAGGCACGTCCCCATTGGTCCTATTTCCGTAATACGTCCTTATATATAACGAAAACACATATGTGTGTGTGTGTGTGTGTGTGTCATCAAAGGGTTACGAGGGCGTTCGAGAGAGCTTGTACGGTCAGAAGAACCCGGCTCTGACCGTAAAGAGCGTCGACAGTAACATGAACAAGAAGAGTAAGAAGAAAAAGGAGGAGGACGTGGAGCTCCCAGGTAAGAGGGACATCAATCATCGTTTTGAAACTAAGTAGAAGATACTCTCATTAGCAAGATTCTAATACTCGTCACAAAGCAAAGCTTCTCTTGGAAAAACTAGGTGAAGAGTGTCCATGAGAATGGCTTAATATCTTAATAGCACGGGTTGTTGGAGTGATCCTCCAGGCAGTCCAACACTACCAAAATAAAAGTCAAATGTGAAAATAAAACAAAGGGGTTAAGAGCTTAAATAAAGATTCAGGACTGTCTCAAAAAAATAGAATATTGTGATAAAGTTCTTTATTTTCTGCCATAGATAGGATAGGATATTTGGGTTTCTTAAGCTGCAAGCCATAATCAGCGATATTAAAACAATAAAAGGCTTGCGATATTTCAGTTGATTTGTAATGAATCCAGAATGTATGACATTTCATGTTTTTTTTAATTGCACTACAGAAAAAAATAACTTTATCACAATATTCTAATTTTCTGAGACAGTCCTGTATATCCTACCGTGCCTCCTCCCTCCCTCGGCTTTTTCCGGTTGGCGTCGGTCCATTAATCGGGCTCTCCTCCCTCTCTAGCCATCCCCTACCACGTCACCATCTGCACGGGGCTGGAGCGGGACGCGGCCACCACCAGCAGGGCCTTCGTCATCATCGTGGGGGCCGGCGGGGCCCAGACGGAGAGGCTGTGGCTGGACCTGCCCGACGGGAGGAGGGGCTTCCAGTCCGGATCCCTGGAGAACTTCCAGGTCCAGGGAGCCGACGTGGGGGAGATTAAGAAGGTGGAGGTGAGTAAAAAAGAATCTTCTTCTTCTATCCCAGTGTTTTTCAACCTTTTTTGAGCCAAGGTTGAGGCACACCACCAACCAAAAACTAATCTGTAGCTGCCTATAGTAACACTATAGTTATTCTTATCTTAAGTGTCTTGAATAGGAATCATATAAACAAAAATGTATTTTTTTTATCATATTTTATATTTCTTCTTTCAAATTGCACTTAACATGTCCACTTCAATATACAAAATTATATACAAAATCTAGTCATAAGGACTTATTACATGATTACGCCACCAGTCACTAGAACAGCACAGAAACTCAAAAATGGCATATTATTTGCAGATAATTAATTCCTTTGTCAAAAAGTATTTTTAGACCAGTGTTTTTCAACCTTTTGTTGAGCCAAGGTTCATTTTTTCATTGAAAAAATCTCGAGGCACACCACCAACCAAAAATGTTAAACAAATCTGCCGCCTATAGTAACACTATAGTTATTCTTATTTTATTCTTATCTTATCTTAAGTGTCTTGAATAGGAATCAAATAAACACAAAAGTTTATTTGTATCATATTTTATATTTCTTCTTTCAAATTGCACTTAACATGTCCACTTAAATATACAAAATATATATTAAATCTAGTCATAAGGAATTATTACATGATTACGCCACCAGTCACTTGTACAGCACAGACACTCAAAAATGGAATATTATTTGCAGATAATTAATTCCTTATCAAAAAATCTTTTTAGACCAATTAGGTGAAATAGGATGATTTTCTACGGCACACCTGATAATCACTCGTGAAACACTAGTGTACCGAGGCACGGTGGTTGAAAAACACTGTTCTATCCTAATCCTAATCCTAACCCGTGTCACGTCTGGGGGAATGTCTGGTGTGTTGTCATGTCCTGATTACCTATTGTGTACACCTGGGGTTCCCCCCCCACATGTGTTTAAATAGTCCTCGTTTCCCATGTCCTGGGCCAGTGTGTTTTCGTCTTTCTGTTCTCGTCACCCCTCTCCACGTCAGGTTTGATTTTTGTCACAGCCATGCCATAGCCTAGTTTACTTTTTGCCATAGCCTTGTTTACCTTATTTGATACTTTGTGTTCATAGTCATGTTTAATCTTGATTTGATACTTTGTTCATAGTTTTGTCACAGCCGTGTTTTTCCAGAGTCATGTTAATATTGCTTTGTTACTTTTCCCCCCCCTCAGCTGGGCCACGACGGGGCCACGCCCGAGAGCTGCTGGCTGGTGGACGAGCTGTCCGTTGCCGTGCCAACCAAAGGGGTCAAATACCTGTTCGCCTGCAACTGCTGGCTGGCCAAAGACCGCGGCGACGGGCTGACCGCGCGGGTCTTCAACGTGCTGGACGCCGACGCCGTCGCCATCTCCCAGAAGGTGGGATCACGCCAGGACCACGTCAGTCCAGTTCTGACCAGAACCAGGACCACTTCAGTCCAGTTCTGACCAGAACCAGGACCACTTCAGTCCAGTTCTGACCAGAACCAGGACCACATCAGTCCAGGTCTCAGGTCTCTGTAAAACTAGGAACTAGGACCACGTCAGTGCAGTTCTGACCAGAACCAGGACCACATCAGTCCAGGTCTCAGGTCTCTGCAGAGCCAGGAACCAAGACCACGTCAGTCCAGTTGTGACCAGAACCAGGACCACATCGGTTCCCCCGGGACTCCAACCCACAACCCTCTTGTCCTGGTTCCCCCTGGGAATAAAACAAAACAGAAAATTACTTTTTTTTGGTTTGAATTCCTTATTTGGCCTTTTAACAAAATATGTAAAAGGAAAAAACAGAAATACTTTTTTAAAATGAATAATTTATTACTATGCGATAAGTCAAGATTATTTTTTGTGTAGTCTTCTGCCCCCTGTTATCAGGTGTATCTGATTGTGTACAATAGGGTTTTGAGCAAAGTTTTTACCATTAAATTATGCAAAAGGTGTCAGACGCAAAACATTTCAGAAACCGTACGGATCAAACATGATACATTTGGCATTATGGGGTTAAGGGGGCTTAAAACCCACTAACAGAAAAACGATCTGTTGTTGGTCAGATCATCTACGAGGTTACCGTGGTGACGGGAGACGTGCAGAACGCCGGGACCGACACCCGCATCTTCATGTCTGTGTTCGGGGTCAACGGCAGCTCCGAGGAGATGCTGCTGCAGAAGAACGAGGACAGGTGCCCCCCCCCCCCCCCCCCCGCCCCTCTGACCCCTGACCCCTGACCTCTGACCCCTGACAGCCTGTGCTGGTCTGCAGGTTTGAGCGTGGCCAGGAGGATTCCTTCAACATGGAGATAGACGACATCGCCCCGCTCAGGAAGATGAGGCTCCGCATCGACGGCTCGGGAAGCCGGCCCGACTGGTTCCTGGACAGGGTCAGACAGGGACACACACACACACATATACACACACACACACACACACACGCACACACGCACACACACACACACACACACACGCGTTTTCATTATATATAAGGATGTATGACGGGAATAGGGCAAATGGGGACGTGCCTTTACAAAGGTTCTACAGGTCTGAGAATCCCAGAGTTTCACACACACAAACACACAAACACACACAAAGACACACACACACACACACACGCGCACACACAGGCTGTGCATATAAAGGGGGTGTTTCTTCCCGAATTGGTACAACAAAGAAAAATAGGGTTTGTGTCTTTATGCTGGACGTGTA